GTACCTGGTACATGAAGAGAGGTCGCCGATGGTGTGGACAGTCATGTACATTGGTCTTCGTGAGCCGAAGTGATCCTGTTGTGTGAACCAGCTGTAGCATAGGATAGTATGGTAGAGTAGGCTGGGCGCTGTGTGCCAGACAGAGAGAGCAACTCTGGATACTGTGTTGGTGTAGCCTACGGGCTTGGACATTGGCTCAATACTTCATTGTATTGCTCTTTATGGATGGTTTTCTCGGTGCATTTGTACTCTCTACTTGGGATACCACTACTTGCTCAGCTGTGTGATTTCGCAACTTGGTTTTATGTATATCGCTCACACTCGTATTCCTTGCAAATTGGTATCAGAGCTGGTGATGATCGCCGCTTACCTGGCACCGGCAACATTGTGACTTGGTGCGCTGACGATGCTTCATGTGCAGTGAGGATACTTTGCGCTGGTTGATTAGCGGGGCCTAGGTAGATAGGCCGGCCGCTGGAAGGCTGTGGCGACAGCGTGGGAGCTGTGGCGACAGCGGATGTATGTATGATGATGAGAGTATGCTGAAGTGGCATTTTGGCTGAGGTGGCACTACATTGCGTTGTGGGTGGTACCGAGGCTATTGACCGGTCATCGAAATGCACATCAGCCCAATTGGTGAGAAATCTGTGGTTGGGGGCAGCTATCTCCAGGTACGTTGTTCCCATTCCTTATCTACCCTCTCAATCTCTTCTTACCGTGACGAAGTGAGTCCAACTTGAGTGTCCTCTCTTTGGTAAGGAGTCGTGTGCGCTCTATCTTGAGAGACGACATTCTTTCCGGTGGCGCATCTGGCAGGAGAGGGCCGTGCCTCTGAAGGGCCCTGGTCGAAGCACGTGGGTCACGGTCACCAGGCCAACCCAATGGGATTAGTACACGCATCCGATGGCTGCTTTGTCCATTAAGGCTCTTTGCTGCGTTGATAGAAGGGGTGTGCGGACTGACCAGTCCTATTGAAACGCTCCCAAACCGTCTATAAACATTGCTGGTTGGGGTCTGATCTGTCCACTGGCTGTGATCGTCGTCCTGTTTGCGACGTTAAATAATTCCTGAGGAGATGGGGGCTCTCCTTAAATCCCTCCTGATCAGCCAGATCAGTCAGACGTAAGGCTCGTTGCACACGAGGATAAATAACGCGGCAGGCTGGTCATAAGCATACTTCTTGGGCACAGCCGTGGGCTGTGGTTGCACACCTTAAACACCGCAGCTTGATGATGCTCACAGGTTCGTTGGATACAGGGGAAGGGGATTCCAATTGTGAACTCAACTGTACATCACTGACATATCCATTGTGCATACATCTGCTCACACTAGTCTAAGTTTTATTTTGATTAGTTGGTTGACCGACTGCTGACACCTAACAGACAGACTAGAGTAGGACTGTAATCTACCATAGTCAGTTCTCCTCAAATCTTTTGTGCAGACTAATCAGAATAAAGTTAGACAATGTGTATAGTTTGTGTAGATGCTGTTGATGCCGCTTGACTAGTAGACTAGGTAACTCGCCGGGTATTTATTCAATTATTTATTTTTAGATCCGTTCAGACGCATGCTGCGGTAGGTTCCAGCGAGGACATTAGTGCAGCGTCTGCCTAACCTATGAGTGGATCAGAGGGTGGTGAGGGTGCAGAGGAGGTTAACAAGGTTATCATCCCTTAGAATCCCTAGAGTGTTCCAGACCCTACAACCGCGAGAAGAGAGAAGATTAAGGGCCGAAGCTAGGGCCCGTAATCTTGAGGCTGCAAGAGAAGCAGCAGCCGCTAGAACGGTAGCAATGAGTAATGCTACTACTGCAGCAACTGCTGCGAACTCAACTGGTCAAGGGCTAGGTATGCCTACCAGTAACAGTCAATCTCCAGTACGTCAGGGGTTGGCACTAGTCAGATGGCGGGCTCGCAGTTCAGCTCGCCACCTCCACGCACCCGGGAGCAGATGGAGCTCCAACAAGTAGAGAGGATCCGCTTGAGGCTAGAGGAGGAACTTAGTCAGGCTACTAAAAGAGAGAAAGAGATCAAAGAAAGAAGTGTCAGATTAGAGGGCAGGGAGGCAGACATGGCTGCGCTAGAGGCACTAGAGGACTCTGAACTTAACACTACAGGAAAGATCCTGAAAGCAAGTGTCCTATCCATGCATGCGTAGATAGATAGTAAAAT